CTAGAGGAGACTACAACTCAAAACACCCACAATGGGGATCTCGCCTCGTCACTCCTAAAGGCCGACAACTATTTGCGGCTATAGCACGATTAAATCTTCACTCAGCCTCCATAGTCTCTCCAACGTGTTGGCCAACCGATACAAAAAAAAAATCTAGACTTAATAGACTTTTGCGTGTTTAAAGGTAATCATAATGGGCGTTGCCACGCTCATTGGCCAAAAATTAACAATATTCTTATTTTAAGTATAAAAATTATTGTAAATATCAATTTTTAGTAAATAAGATTCAGTAGTTACTAAAATATCGTAGTTTTCGTATTTCTGAAAACTACCGTTATATAGGAAGTGGGCGTGGTTTCAGTCCGATTTCGCCCATTTTCAAGACCACCCTACCGTGGGTAAAGGGCGTCCCAAGGATGGTTTTAGGCTAAACAAAAATTCTATATGTAAAGGGGGCGTGGCACCTCCAATACAAACTGAATTTTTTCATACTCCATATCTCCGGAAGTGTTCTTGGTAGATATACGAAATCAATCGTATACTCTTGGAGAAAAATTGGAGCTATTGGAAAAGGGGGCGTGGCACCTCCAATACAAACCAAATTTTTCATACTACGTATCTCTGGAAGTGTTCATGGTAGAGTTCTAGAACTTAGCATGTAGATATATGAAATCAATCGCATACTCATGAAGAAAAATGGGAGCTATTGGAAAAGGGGGCGTGGCTCCTCCCATACAAACCGAATTTTTATACTGCACATCTCTGAAAGTATTCATGGTACAGTACTGGAACTGCGTGTGGAGATACATATGTATGTATGTATATGAAATCAAGCCCATACTCATGGAGAAAATTGGGGCTATTTGAAAAGAGGGCGTGAGGCCTACAAACGTACCGACTTTAAGCTATCTTTGAATGTATTTATAATTCTTCTGTAGGTGTGTTTGTGAGTGAAATCCTCCAAAATGGTTGTACGGATTATAACAAAATTTTTTGTGTTTGTTTGAGTGGGTCTCTGGATGGTTTACAATTTCACAATTTAATCCGCCAGTTGGCGCTGTAGTTGAGTTATTACTAAAAATCTTATTTATGATCCGATTTGGCTAATATTTTAAATATGTATTGCAAAAACGTGCTGCCAAGTGGCGCTGTGGATGTGATTTTCCAATATTATTATGCGTTCAAGATTTTAAGGTATTTCTTCTGAAATAAGTATATGTATATTGCATTTCTGTAGAACAATGATTCGCACCCATTTTGAAATTGCCACCCACTATACTGTTAAACTTCTAGGACAGATTCACTATAGAACCGGGTCATTGTTGCCGCCAGGGAGTGAAGAGGAAAGAATTCTTCAAATTTATTTCATTTTGCGAATAACCTTGCTATGAAATGCTGCACAATTGGAGAATTTCAAGAACTTCTTCAAGCATATAATGCTTTCCTTAGGTTATTTAAAGCGGCAAATTACCACCAAACCATAATCTTAGCAGATGAATGTGCCAATGATAATCGTAAACGTTAATTGTTGGTGAAAATGTTGGACCAAAGAGTTTCAATAAAAAAATAAAAATTTTGGGCGGGACGAGGTTCGCCGGGTCTGCTATTATTTTGATATTTGCGTTTAAAATTTAATATCGGGCGGTGTTATATGTATAATGAGCTAGACATTTATAAAAAATATTAATATTAATTGTGCGAGTTCAACCTATAAAGATTAAAACCAATAATTAATTTTTAAGTTTTATTTTTTCGCTCAAAGAAAATCATGATTGCTTAATTTTTTTATTTTTCACTTAAGAATAATGCTCATTAAAAAACTCAAAAGCTTTAACAGCATGATTTCTGCCGTATCCTTTTCAGAGGTATCGACACCTAAAATTTTTAGGTTAGTTAGATTTCAGTTGGTTGCGTCTGTATGGCTTTTTAAATGTTATAAATAATCATTATTTCTGAGCAAAAAAAAAACAAATTAAAAAAAAAAGATTTTTTGCTATCGAAAAAATAAAACTCAATAATAATTATTATTTTTAAGCGAAAAAAATAGAAATCGTAAAATAATGATTGATTGCTGATTTATATTATTTTACTCATAATGATTACCATCCCTGGTTACAACTGCGTTAATGAAGATCTTTGCGCACATTGTCGCTTACGATAAAATTGCAGGTACGCGAAAGTGTAAACAAAGCAATCGATAAAGTTTATTTCATTTTTTCTCCCTAAGATATTAAAACTTGGAAACTTGGGAACATGCTTGTTGGTCAAAAGCCTTCAAAGCGCTGTCAAATTAAACGTTCGCCTATTTAAAACTTTGGGCGCTTACAGGCCAATTTAGTATTCACGCACTCCGGCAATTGCCTGCCAAAAGTTTATCATATTTAGTCATACAACATGGGGCCAACCGAAATTGAACCGTGCGCGAAAAAAGCTGTCTCAATTCCCACCGTTTGTTCTGCGTGAGATTTTGCTTTGATGTTTCGTTCAGTGACATCAAATGCAAAGACTATTTCAGTTTACGCAGAAAAACATATTAGGCGAAGTACGTAAACAAACGGCGTGGCTTTATATAAGGTCGGGCTGTTAGAGCAAGTGAAGGAAAGCTGCTCTTGGCCAACCTTATAATAATATTATTATTTTGGCGCTTTCACTTCTGCTAAGTGTTTGGCAGAGCTTCTCATCCAATGGAGGGACCTACAGTTTTATGCCGCCTCCAAACGGCAAATGGATCTAACGAGAAAAGCTTTTTCAAGGCAGAAATACACTCGGAGACTTGCCATTGCCTGCCGAGAGGCGACGGCAGTTTAGAAAAAAACTTTTGCTGTATTTCTTTTGGGATATTGCTTAAACCAACGATCGACCCTTGTTCCTACATAGTGGCAGTACCCACCTCTAATCATTCGGCTACAGCGGCCAACCTTTTACTATATTTCCAATATTTTTACAGTTCTTAAAATGAAACAAGCAAAGCGAGCCTGTGTTGGGCCAATCGCTTAATGATGACATGGAAAGGCTTGTCATCAACACCGTTCAACGTTAAGATGGGAAGTAAAACCGAGGGTCCTTCAATTTGTGTTCCACTCAGCGTTGCCGAAAGCTTTCGCTGAAAAATCGTCAATTTACCCCAAAAAAATCGTCATTTCGTCCAAAATATAAAATTTTTGTTTCTTATATTTTTGTAACAATAAAAAATACAAACAAAATTACATAAATTACGTACAATAAATATGGCCGCTAGGGCGGAGTGATTTGTTCGGAGCAATATTTTCAACAAAAGTGTATAGCAAATTCAAATTCTACGATTAATTGTAAGCCGAAATGGCGAGAAAACTGTATACCTAAAATGACGTTTAACTCTCCCAATTTTCAAAAGAAAAAGCAGTATATTTCATGAGGAAAACATCAGATTTTGTAAATGAAAAGTTAATTCCTTTCAGAGAAAAAATATAATACACAGATTTTTCTTTTAAAAATTGGCAGGGTCAACGTCTACTTAGTTTGTTCACCATTTTTGGTTATAATCGAACTTCGAATTCCAATATGCCCTACATTTTTTTCGAAATTAAATTACTCCGCCCTAATCACCACACATTACAAAACCAAAGGGAACCCACACTGCATATGGGTTACTAAAGGTTGATTTGTAATTGTAACCGACAATTTAGATTTACGATTTAAAACACAACTGCTTTTAAATTGTTGAACTCCACTGATGTTAAGTTTTTGAAGATTTTGATCTAGTTTTAAAGTGTAACGGGGGCATTTATTAACGATGATAATCTTAACTCAACAAATTCCTTCTGCTATTTTTCTGTCTCTTTCAAATGAGTGTCAGCAGTGCAAATTAACGATTTGGTTATAATTCTAGAACAAATTTAATATAACTAAAAGCACGGTTCAAGAACAAAACTAGATAAGTAAATGCGTGGTTGTATTTTAGATTACGTTTTCAGTTAACAAATTTTGTACATACATAGGCACATATATGTATGTATATTTACATACATACATATATAATTAAATGGATAAACTAAAAAAAATCGTAATTTCGGGTGGAAAATCGTCAAAACGTCATTGAGCTAAAAAACGTCAAATTGACGACGAAATCGTCAATGCGGCAACGCTGGTTCCACTATCAAAATGCACCTCAAAAAATGGACGGGACGTTCAACAAACAAATAACTACATATGTAATTGTATTTTTTATTTAAAAAATGATAATGAAAAAATACATCAATTTATTTCTCTATATGTTAGCAATAATTTGTATTTTTAGAGTTTTTCAAATAGATACGTATGTATTTTTTTACAGGCAAGGAAATTTAGTGTAATTCAAAATAACAGTTCACAGAATCAAACATCTTGTATTGTTTATGCGCGTAAAGTTCATTGCCGTGATAAAACTCACCTTCTTCTTCTAGAAAATCGTACTCCACTTCCGCTTCGAGCCATTCATAACCCGTATGATCGATTGGTAGAATTGAATCGGTATTAGACGTCCCAGTTTGCTTTTCATTTGTTGTAGCTGCCATTATGGAAGCCCGTTTTCGCGAAGATAAACAATTACCACTACGTATACTCTTACCACTGGCATTACTGTTTTTTCCATGCTTTATTTTTGATTTGAGTGACGTGGAAACATCATCGAAAACATCTTCTGTTGCTTTTTGGGAATGTGAAACCGGCGATTTAGAAATTGGTTTGTGGTTTGTGGTTAATAAAGGTAAATTTGAAACTATCTGTGGTGGTTGTGTTTGACGTTGTTGTTGATGTGATAGTACGGTAAGCGGCTGTAGCGGCGCTTGGGTGGTTGTATGCGCAACTGTTTGTGTTTGTGTTTGAGTTTGAGCCCGGGTAGAAGGCTGTTGTGATTGGCTACTTCCATTGATATTGCAGTTGACATATTTTGGCCCTTCGAACCACACTAATCCAATAAAGAGCCAAACAAGATTCGGTCTAGGCCGGTTACGGCCAACACGCGCTGTATTAGCAGACGCTGTGAACGTTGACGACGTTATCAATGCTGGCGTTGGTGCTGGACTCATCATATCCTTTCGCGTTCGGTCACTCAAGGCAATAATTTTGGTGTTCGCTAGACGCATTCCTGCTAACACAGATCCTGCTAAAATAGATCCAGCCGCTGCTTTTGATAATATAAAATGCACGGAAGGGGCATTTGTTGGGATTGTTTTGCACGCATTGAGGTCCCAAATACCAAAACGATGATTGGTTATATGAAATAATGTGTCTTTTTCACTACTCATATGTTGCTGCTGAAGAGTGATGGATTGTTGCTGCTGCTGTTCTTGTATATTTATTCGTCGTCGGCGTCGTCGTCGTCTTCGTCGACGATGTCGCTTCCAATTGTTGCAAAAAAGTTTACATAAGTTATTCATTTTTAATTGTTGGTCGTTTGCAATGGAAACCATCTGTTGCTGTTGTTGTTGCTGCTTCTGTTCTCTTGACACTTTTATTACAATTGCCCTTGACCTTGGGACAGATATTTTCACTCGAAGCGCGGCTATTATATACCGGTAAAAATATTCCGCCATATGGATTAATTGATGAAAAATATATTTGCTTAGATGCTTTGCACTACAACGAGCAAATCGCATGAACTTTGTTTTTTTGCTAAATAAAATCTCTCCGTTTAATTTTGTGGCCGTTTTTGTTAACGTAGTCACATCTTTAGTAGAGTTAAAGCAATGTGCGTTTTGATAGCAGTGCAGTGACCGACAGGAAAACCAGACGGGACATTCAAAACAGAGGCAGGTGGTACTTGTTAGACCTTGTGGTGGAAGAAAATTTCTGAAGTCTTCTAGTTGTTGTGGTACTTTTTGCTTTTTTGCCGGATTTTGGCTTGGTTGCTGTTTTTGGGCCATCTTTCCTGCCCTTGGATGTTTTTTTAATTTAGAGGGTTGATTATTTAATCTGGTGGCTACATGACAATATGGACATGTGATAGATGTTGAATGTAATTTTGCCAAGCAACAGCAACAATAACAGCGATAAAAACAGTAGTAACGACAGCAATTATAGTAGCAGTATATACAATGCGGATAGTTAAATGCATGTTGCCTATAATGCCGTTTCCAGCACCAATACCAAGTACACCAACAATCATCACTCGAATTTCTTCCAGAAATGCAATTGCAGCGACGATAACAACAAAAACACCAAAAGCAACAGCACAAGTCAAATTTCATAATAGCATGCATGCATTCATTCCAATCGGTATTTTTACCTTTTCTATTTTGATCCTCTTGTGCGGGCGCACTTTTATTTTTCGCATTAATCGGTATGCCTAAATTTGCTGGCCTTTTTTGATTTGTTGACATTGTAGATTTGGTAAGCTTTGCACTAGATTTAGCACTTGTACTGGTTAAGAGATCGTGAAGCCTAGGATTCTGTCTCATCAACTTTCCATATTTTGTCTTCTTCCGTTCCACTACAGCTTCATCCCTACCTCTGAAAATTTCATGTTCAAGTTTTGAAATGCTGCTGGATTTAGTTCTGCGTTTGTTTAATTTAACCATGTTTGGTTTGGACGGTTTTAAATAACGGCTATTATTATGCATTTTCACATAATTATTGTCATAGGTTTCTATTATAGTGTTGGCTATGTCAAATAATGGTTGAAATATCAAAATCATTCTATATTTTTGATGCGAATGTGACCTATTGCAATCGCTACAGATCTTGAGTCCACCAACACTGTAATTTTCCTGTTGTTTTTTGCTGCTATCGATACCATTAAAATATTGGCAAGCGTAATATAAATGCAAAGTTTTCACCTGCTCACATATTACTGCAGAAAAGGCTAATTGGTTATGAAACAATCGGTTTTCTTGTGGCACCAGAATATAAAGTACATGATCTGTTAAAAAAGGCGTATTAAATGTCAGCGTGACGGGATCCATTAAAAGCGTTGTTAGCAAAAAATTATGACAGGTCTTTTTAAAATTTTGTGCAATTATGGCTGTTGTTGCTGTAGGTACTCCTGACAATAATATTAGTCTTCCTGTGGTTGTACACGCAGTTCCGGCGTCTGATGATATTGTCATTTCGGTGGACGGTGTAGTAGCCCCTTGTACAAAAAGTGCAAACATTTTTCCAGTTAGCACTGCAAAAATTGTCAGCTGATTCTGCCGGATTGCATACGGTAGCTTCGGGATATGATCTTGCCTCTTTTTTAATTTGAGTGTAGCAAGTTTTATGAGTTCACAAACACAGTTCAGTGCAACTGCCCTTTGATTCCGTAATCGTTGCCGTTGAAATAGTTTTCTCGAAATACTCCAATAAGAGCAGCAGCAGAGTAATAGAAGCCAACGCCAGAAAAGTACAGTTCGCTTGCGAACATAGCGCAGTGTGAGTGGAATTACTTCTACGAAAATTGCAAGTAGCATACACAATGTTATCTCGAAGATATCATCAGAGCGATGTTGGTTGATTACTCCAGCAACACCTCGATTACTTTTAGCGTTGCTCCCTTTAGTACGCTCTTTTCGTTTCCATTGCTGCTCCAGACTCCAACTTTCAATGTTGCCTTCGCTTTCCCTAACAATTTCACTTTCGTTCTGGCGGCGAAAGTGACTTTCTACATTTCTATAACTGATAGAATTGCGCGCATCATGATTATTAATGCATAGTGTAAAGTAAACATTCCATACGGTTAAAATTGTGGCTGCCGTTGAAGATGGACAATTGGATTCTGCATGAGTACTTAACGTTATATTTGATGTTGTTTTCGTTGGTAATAGCCAATATTTGGTTATGGCGTTATTAGTGTTGTTCACAGTTATCGCATTGGATAGTGGTAGCAATAAAATTGCAAGGAACATTGGCTCCAAACAGCAAATCATACAGAGTTTAAACACATTTAATACTTTCATAACCGCATGTGTTGTTAATGCTGAAGTGTTGATTATCAATAGCTAAAGTTAAGAGCATACATACATATTTTACTCATTGGTTATGAAGCTAATTAAACTTATGCAGTGTAGGTACTTTTACATATAGGTACAGTTGTGTTCAAAAAATATAATGTCGCTACAGCTCAGAATGACAAAACCTATTTTTTTGCATGTTCTAATTTACAAATTGAAGATTTGTGTTAAGATTTTTATAAATGGAATGTAACAAACAGAAAAATCAAAATAAATTTATACTTTTGGTACGTTATGAGTCTTTATGATGTACTTACTTATACATATGTACATATGTACCAAAAACCTGCTGTTAAAAAAAATAATACGGCTTAACTTGAGAAGCTCTAACATTTAAGGAAATAAAAGTTCCACCATAATTATGATTCTTTCAGTTATTTCACTATTTTTTAATGCAAGACTACTACAGCGGACAAAATAGAGGGCAGTCAAAGAGCGGAGAAGCGGGATAGCAGCTAATAGAAAAACCGTGTCCGCTGAAAACGCGCCGAGACGCTGAGTGCGGCCGAGCTGACAACCCTCAAGACGTCATCATGGATGACGTGTTTAAGGGATGGATGCATCTTATAGCTTTTTTCGGAGTCTATTTCAGGCCAGGTATGCTCCTTGTGGACCGCAAGGATGAGATGACGGTCACGTGGCTGACAAGCGTGTCAGGTAAGGTAGAAATTTCAACCCCTAAGCACGAAGAAAGGAGATGAAATCCGCGGTCCCATAACATGACGGTCTTCCTCCTGACGGACTCAACACCTCAAGATGGCTAGTCATAAACAACTCTATCGAAAACACGGGCCTACGTCTAAAAGTGGACATTGACAAAGACGATTTCAACAGTGTCAGGCGGGACGGCTTTAGACTGAACTACAGGTTTGGCAGCATTCCGATTAAACCTTGGAAGCAAAAGTCCACGGGCGACAGCCCGACTGCAGTAGAGGCTGGTCAGGGAACATCACAGCGCGAACGAGCAAGGGAAGAGCTGATCCCGACTGAGAGCAGCATTTAAGGTTGCCAGATTTTTTTGCGCATAATCAGTATCTTAGACTTTTTCATGCTATAAAAATCAGTAAAGTTTTATCCAAAGCAAAATTATGAATGTAAGTAACAAAAAATTTCTTTTATAACGCCAGATTATTTGCATTTAACAATACTTTGGTACAAAAATAAAATGTTTTTCATATAATAAAAAAAATGTTATTAATTTTCACATGAGTGTACATTTTAACATGGTTTAATATCCATATAATATCATTGTACACAGGAGCCAATGAATTATTTAATACTAGCAATTACCCGGCGTGCTTCGCTGCGACTTAAATGTGTTTTTGTGTTATAACTCTCCCCCTAAGCTCTTATGGCCTCATTTACAAAATATTTTTAAAGAACTTTATGAAGTTAGATTTAAGAAAAAATCGATCTATGAAGCATTGTTTATTTTTTTTTTTGAGTTAATATATTTTCGAAGGTAATTAGAAAATAAGTAAAGAACCGACTTTAATAATATTGCTGTACATATTTGTATAGTAGGGAGATTTTTTCAAATTATATAAATATACGTTATTTGAATATTGAATTAATACACGTTTGAGGAAAGGGTGCGATAGTAGACTCCAGTTATAAGATTATAAATTAAATTTCCAAGAGAAAGTCGGTTCTTTACATATTTTCTAATTACCTTCGAAAATATATTAACTCAAAAAAAATAAACAATGCTTCATAGATCGATTTTTTTTTTAAATCTAACTTCATAAAGTTCTTTAAAAATATTTTTTAAAT